TGCATCGGCTAAGAGGTTAAAGTTTTCATTTTAAAATTATAAAATCTAAAAAATATAGTATATATTGTATAATCGACAATTGATGTAGAACAAAAATGACGATTGATTTTTCAAAATTTTAAAACTCAATTAAAAAAAACATAAATTGATGGAAAAAAAACATGTGTAGTGCATCAGCTATGAGGGTTAAAATTTTTATTTTAAAATTCTAATGACCAAGATTAAACAATTTGGAAATTATTAAAAAAAAAAATGGTGAATAGTGCTTTGCGAGGGAGTGAATAGACTCATTGTTTAAATACCCCAACTCTTTTAGTTATATAGTAATGATGTGTTGTAAGGTGGAAATAATATCTAAGAATTAATTATTGTGTTGTGTTTATAAATATTTAAAAAAGTTAAATAATATTTGGTTAACCGATTCTATTGCAAAGTTTTTGACATATGAAATGACCAATAAATAATGTAACGTTAAAAATATTTTAACAAATTTATTTTATTTACATTAAGGGTTTTATTACTTTTTAAACTTCCATGACATGTGTGCATAATGTTTATGAGACTATTTCTTAAATTCAAAAGTCTAAAAAAATAATTAAATAGGATGATAATATATATAAACACACCATTTCATATATATATATATATATATGTATGTATGTATGTATGTATGTTAACAAAACACTAGCATCTTTGGTATGTATAGTTTAGGAAAATAGGGAAATTATCGTTTTCCTTAATAAAAAAGAACCCCACAATAAATGGCTGTACTTTTTATTAAAATCTGCAGTACCAACCTTGTTTCAAAAGTAAAACAATTTTCTATTAAAGTAGCACTTGTTTTGATTTTAAATCAAAGCAGAAGTTAACAAAATACTGTTTTAAAACTACAAACAATTATGTTTTAAAAGTACAGAAATACTAAACAAACACTATAATATATTCAATAATATTTATTTTGGTATTAATATTGTTTCTCCGTATTCAATCTAATGAATGTTTATTCATTTGAAATACTAATTAATTCCCAAGAGCTTAATGAGTTAGCATTAATTTTATTAGCAAAAAAGTTGTTGAACATGATTAACAAACTGAAACATTAAATTGATCATATGTATGCACATATTTCTACAAAAAGATTTCAAATTCGAACGTGAAAAAAAAAAAAATAGAACAGTGGAGAGCTATATACTAGCATGTTAAATAAAACAAAATATATTATAGTGTTTCGAGATCCAAACTGTGTAATACTAACCTCCTCGTGACTGAAAATAAAATAAAAAGTTACGGGCATGTTATTATCCTGGACAAGAATTATGCACAGCACGACATGCAGAAAATAAAAAAATAAATAAAATATAGGCTTTTTTAATAGACTTTTGTATAGCTGCTAAGAGCTAGCTAGGACCCTCTATTTGCATTACTTTCCATCTACCATCTTAATCATGAGCTGTGATTTAATATTTAAGGTTAGGATTCTGTAGCTAATCTTCTGATTAAATATAAGGGTTAATATCCTGATTTCTAGTTGTATAATGAGTCAGATTTCTAATATTTTCTTATTAAAAAAAAAATTCTCTGATATATTTTTATAATTTGAGTAAGCTAAGGAACCTAGGACCCTCTATTTGTATAATTTAATATTTTAGGTAAGGATTTTGTAGCTAATCTTCTGATTAAATATAAGGGTTAATATCCTGATTTATTCTTATAGAATGAATCAAATTTCTAACATGTTCTTATTTAAAAAAAAAAGTCTCTGATATGTCTCTATAATTTGAGTTGATTTCTAATATCTCCTTTTAGTTATAATTTGATAAAATTTTCGATTAAATTAATCATGTAATTTGTACATGATATGTAATTTGATAAAATTATTTTTGTTACTTGACACAAATAATCTATATCTACTAAGATAAAAATTACTCGAAAATTTTTATCAGAATGACATATTAGAAATCAGCTCAAAATATAATGATAGATTGAAAAATTGACATATTATATAACGACAAGTAATGATATTAACTCTAAATATAATTTAGTCTTTTTAATTTTTGAGAAATGAATGAATTAATTCTTTTTATTTTACAAAAATAATTATTTAGTCATTTAATCAATATTAACTAAGCTTAATTTAATATAACTTTATTTCAAGAAATGTCTTTTTTCTCACAATCTTTTCATAATATCTATTTTTTTTCTATTTTTTAAACAAAAAAATCAAAAAATTAAAAAAGAACATAAAATAGACAAAAAAAATAATTATTAGTTTTTGAAATAAAAAAGACTAATTAATTCGTTTCTCAAAACTAGAGAGAATAATTTGTAATTTACTCCAAATCTTTTGGACAAATGAAATCTTCATTTCTCTCTAAGAAGTTAAAAAAAAAAAAAAAGAAAGAATAATTCTAAGAGCTGAGCAAATGAACGGAGCTTGGGCCTTCCTTGTATTGTCTTGTGATAGAGAGCTAGCCACTCCAGTTCATCTTGAGTCTAGCCCGTGTAGTAATAATTGAACTGGACCTTCCACATTCCAAGCCTTATGGTGATCTGTCAATGTCCGCTTTTCAGTAGTATTAATTTTCATTTTTTCTTTATAATTTTGTAATTATGAGTACAATTTACAAGCTAAATATTTTTATGTTTTTTAACACATATAAAATTAACTAATTATCACAAAACAATATAATAAAATAATAATGAAAAAGTTAAGATAAATAAATTAAATAATCACTATAGAGTAACCAAAATGCTTTTGGGATACTATTGAAAATGAGCAAAAATACCCATATTTAAAAAAAAATGATAGAATAGTCCTTGGTGTAGAAAATAACCAAATTGCCCTTGTTTATTGTCGGAGGTCGTTGTCATTCTTTCGGTCAACAATCGATGCATGGATCACTCCGCCTTGTAGGGGACGTCCGGGCGAACTCGTTGGTTCCGGAGATGGCCACTATCACCTAAGGGAGGAGATCCACGACGGAAAAGCTTCAACTCGATCTCCTCCTTCTTCGATTAATTTCGACTGAATTTATTAATGGTTTTCAAGGCTTAAAATAGGACTAGAATAACCCCTAGGACTTGTTAGAGCTTCGTTTTGGTAATTGGATGACTTGATTTGGCCAAAAAAATGGAAAAGAAAACCCGCCACAAGCCACGAGTCACATAGGTCCGAATTCGTGATCGGTTTCCTTCCTCCCTCACTATTTTCCATCATTTATATTGGTGGAGAAGGGTTGCTGAAGGCTAGGGGAGTAGTTACGTGGTGGCAATTGCCATTGATATCACTAGACAATAGACGATTTGGGAGGAGCTTGTAACTAGGTCTAAACGCAAGTCGGATCGTCGATCTTTTCTTCTCCATTTCTCCCTCCTCTAGGGTCTTATTCTTCTCTAACCAATCGAGAATGACGGATCTAGTGGTGGGTTATCGATTTGTGATGGTGAATCAAAGTAATTTTGATCGAAAGACGACGATTGAGAGAGGAAATGTCGACAAGTCTACGGGTTGACTTGCCGATGACTCGGGTTGGTAGCATCTTTTTCTTTTCTTTTCTTTTCTTATTCTATTGGGATTTGTGTCCTAAAAAAATTAGAGAGATGATGAAAATAAACTTTCTACATTTTATTTATTTATTTATTTATTTTATGGTTAGAGGTGATGGGTATTTATGATTAGACTTGTTTTGTGATAGGTGAATAATAGATGCTAGATTATTTTGGTAGGAGATGGGTGATAAAGGCTAGGTTTTTTGGATAGAAAGATGAGTGATGAAGACTATGATTTTTGGGGTAGGAAAATAATAATGGAGGCTCTTAAAAATAAAGGGAAACGTGTTTATATAAAGAACTTTTAGGATTTAGGGATAAAACCAATTTAGGTCATTTGGATTATTTTTCTCAATTTCAATGTATGTTTCATCTTTTTTTCTCCAATTAGCTATTTAATTGAAATTGTTTAATCCATGTTCTTTGATTTTTTTTTTTTTAAGAGTCACATTGATTAACTCTTAATCAAGTTCCTTGATTTTTTATCTCTTTTTAATTAAATCCATATCCGAATGTCACTTGGTCCTCGCTTTTCACATCATTTTCAATTAGATCTCAAATCATTTTCTCAATTTTTTTAATAATTAAAATGGAGGATAAATCTAAAAATAAAATCCAAAAAAATTATAAAAATGCTTAAAAATCATGAAAAAGATAAACTATGCAACATTCTACTTTTATTGAATTTTTGGATTTTTTTTTGAATTTTTAATTTTGTATGGAAATAAACAAAGGGTAAAAAATGTGTTATTAATTACAGTAACCTCTTATGATCCATACACATTAATAGATTACATTATCCTAAAATGATCAAATAAAGTATTATCATCTAAGTAGATATGTCTAATTCGTCTAGTTTTTATATATATTATAAGTTTTGATATACGCGGAAATGCAATATGAGTTTTTTCATTTGTATATAAGTGTGAAAAATAGTATATTTTTATTAGATTTGTAATTAATCTATTTATATTCTTATTAATTAGATAAAAAAAAAGGGTCTAAATAACAGTTTAGGATTAGCCCATTTATAGAGGTGTTATAAATTTCTATTCCCACATAAATGTAATATGAAAGACACAACTGGGCATGCATTGCTTTTGTCGGTAAACACAAGTTTCAGAAAGAAAAAATAAATCTAATTGGCTATGAATTACTGTCTAGAAGAGTATTTCTTTTTCTTTGTAATAAAGGCATTATATTTTGTTTTTATAATCCAAAAAATGATAATTCTTGAACCATTTTTTCGTGAATATAAATTTATCTTAAAATCGGATATTTTAAATTCTTTGTATTTTTAAGATCGAAGAAGCAAACCTTAGTCTTATGATCCCATAAAAAAGTGAGAAAAATGGAATTTGAACCTTGTAATTTATGTTGGACTCATTCATGATATATGTTTATGTCTCTTCGATATAGCTACATGTACAGTATTAATCGAATTTGGGCAATTAATCCTCTGATTTCTTGAATGCATTTTTTTCATCTTCCCAGTTGTGCCATGTGAGGTGCTAGTTAAGTAGGAATCAGGCATGCATGTACTAATTAAGATATATATATATATATATATATATATACACACACACATGGAGGGGTACTGTTCTTGAAAAATATCCAGTTGCATAGAATGGTACTTGTTCTGGGGACAAAATTAAAGAAGAGGCATGCATGGACGAAACGAAAGAGACAAGGTAGGATGAACGCGTGGGGACAACACAAGAGACAAACTTAAAGAGGGGATATTTGTGGGGTTCAAATTAACAGTAATTACTACTACGTTCATGTCATGATTTTTACTCATGTACCGAAACTTCTAGCAAAGCTAGAATTTGAACATGTTATCCCTTGTATATAAACAAAAAGGCACTATCAATGAGCTTTATTATAGATGGTATCCATGTATCCAAACCTAATTTTAGGATTGGCATTAATCAAATTGATGCAAAAAATGTAAGGGTTATAATTGTATTACTTTTCATAGGTCCGCTTTGATTTATTCGAATGAAGTGAATATAAAGGGATTTTTTCCTTCATAGAAGCAGAAGTAAGGACATATAAAAATATTTTATTTATTTGGGTATGAAGGGACTTTTGCCGTCATAGAAGTAGAAGTAAAAACGAATAAAAATATATGATTTATTTAGATATAGAGCGATTTTAGTCTTGGTAATAATAAAAATAAAAACAGATAAAAACATCTAATTTATTTGAATAGAGAAGTAAATAAGACATCTTTTGAATCCCTATATATACGCTTTTTCAATATATATTTAAAAATAATTTGTGTAGTGTTTATCTAAAATTACTTTGATTAAATTTGGTTGATAAATGTAAAATATTTTATTTTTTATAATCTGGATACTTTCCTCAATTGAAATTGGTCATAAGAAAAAAAAAATCGCATGAATCCCTAATAGAGATCTGCCTCAAATGAAAAATTGAAAATTGTCTCTTATTGAAATGGAAGCAGGAAAAAAAAAAAAAAAAAAAAAACTAAAGACTATTTCTATGGAGGTAGATGCACACCGTCTCCACTTTTCTGGATCTTCATTGCCATCTCTGAGAGGATGTGTCCTTAAAATTATATGAATTTATAGATTTTTGAGATTATATCGAATTTAAAAAGAAAAAAAGATTTGTTCACCTCGTGTTGGTCTTATTTTGACACATGCATGTAGAAGTAGAACTACTACATAAACATTATAAGTGAATGGATGTGATTGATTCCTAACTTAAATGGTCCTGAAAGAACACAAAAAAGGAATGTGATTGCTAGCTGGCTTCTCTTGTCCAGTACCCAAAATTGACTACAACTAATATAAAATCAAGTTACACATCGAAAACATTTTGGACGTGTTTCACAAAGAAAGGAAAACATTGACTTGTATATATAAATTTCGTAGATATTCGGTAAGAAAAAAAAATTAATAAAATCAAATATTCGAAAAAGTAAAGAGAAATATGGGAAAAAACAAATGAAAAAAATTCTATTTTTCACAATTTTTTTTCTTGCAAATAAATAATTAATTGAGGATCGAAAAGGGCATTGCTCTCACGCAGCCCAATCAAAGAGAGTGAGAGAGAGAGAAAAAAACCTTTATAGAGGGATGTGTCATGTGCTACTGGATGGGGCATAGCTTGTTGGGCTGCTCTCCTCCTCCCGATCCTTCAATGACTTAAAAAAAAAAAAAACCCTTCTCTCGTCCAAATCACCAAGAAAATATTTTTATAGAACAGAACAGCTATCTACACTGCAAAATATGAAAGAGGCTATTTTTGGTGCGAGAATCTATGAAGATCTAGTTCCACAAAAGAAGAAGTCGCTGGATTGATCGCACGAAATAGAGCATGTGATTGTGCCGTTAGGATCGACCATATGATGAAGTTGTTAGAGTTGTCACATGGTACTAATTAATATATTTTGTACAAAAAAGAAGAAGCTATGTTTGTTTAAGGAAAACAAGTTTCAAAAATTTATTATTTTTTTATTTTTCAGTGTTTGATGAATTAGTTTAATAATTAAAAAAATATATTTTATTTTTTTATTAAAATTTTAGAGTCAGTATTTATGAAAATTTATTAAATTTTTCTAAATATATCTTATATTTTGAAATTATGAATATGTTTTTTTGAAGTTTTCTCAAAATTTGTTGATGTACCAATCATATACTGTTTTTATATTTTAAATTTTTGTATCTAACAAACGCTGAAATATATTTTTCAATATTATTTCATGTAATTACGAAACGGCAAAAAATATTTTATTGGAAAATAATTTTCTAGAAAATAACTTCTTCGGGAATTAATTTTCCTAAAAAAGTTGTTTTCCACCAAACAAACGGAGCCTAAATGATTAAAAATTCTATGAAAACATCCACTATATATAACACTTTTTCTTCCCTAAAGCAGTTAATTCTTTTTTCTTACAACCTTTTACTTATTTGTTAAACTTACAAGTACCACTTTCTAAGCTTATATTTAGTTAACTTAATTATAAAGTCAAACATTTATTTTTCTTGTAAAGTTACATCCACAAGTAGTGAATATGGGTTTGCATGGTACAGTTGTGTGTTTTGCTTCGTGAGAAAATAAATCAAACAAAAAATAAAGCAAAAAATACAAAAATAATCATGTGACATAAAATTTACATGATTTGATAATTGTCTACTACACGACCATACTAAAAAATCTTAACGGGGTTTTCAATCAGCTATAAATACAAGAGATAACGAGATCGTTCTCTTGGTTCTACATAACACACTAAACTACGGAGCACATTTACGTCAATATTTACAACTTAACACTGCCATATGGGTTGTTTTGTACTTTAAGATGATATGTTGTGAGGTAAAAATAGTATTTCATAATTAATTATTTTGTTGTGTTTATAAATAGTTAAAACAGTTAAATATTATCTAGTTAAATTTTGTTGCAATGTTTTTAACATATGAAGGACCAATAAATATGGTAACATTAAAAATATTTTAACAAATATATTTTGTTCATATTAATTGTTTTATTACTTTTTAAACTTCCATAACCTGTGTGCATAATGTTTATCAGACTAATTCTTAAATTCAATAAGGATGATAATATATATAAACATAAACATATCATTTCAAAAAAAAAAAAAAAAAAAAAAAAAATATATATATATATATATATATATATATATATATATATATATATATATATGGTTTTTTATTAATAAACCACTAACATCTTTGGTATGCATAATTTAAGAAAATAGAGATATTATCATTTTCATTAATAAAAAAGAACCCCTAATAAATAGCTGTATTTTTTTATTAAAACCAGGGGTACCTACTCTATTTCAAAAGTAAAAAAATTTTCTTTTGAAGTAACACTTGTTTTGATTTCAAATCAAAACAAGTGTTAACTAATGCTGGTTTAAGATTAAAAACAATTATGTTATTAGCAAAAAAGTTGTTGAACATGATTAACAAACTAAAGCATTGAGTTGATCATATGTATGCACATGTTTCTATAAAAAGATTTCAAATTAAAACATAAAAAAAAAAAGGGGCTGATAAACGTAATATTTTATTATTTTATAACCTTTATACTTTTTCAATACATATTTAAAAATAATTTGTATAGTGTTTATCTAAAATTATTTTGATTAACTTTAGTTGATAAACGTAAAATATTTTATTATTTTATAACCTGTATACTTTCCTCAATTGAAACTGGTCATAAGAAAAAAAAAATCACATGAATCCCTAATAGAGATCTGCCTCAAATGAAAAATTGAAAATTTTCTCTGATTGAAATGGAGACAGAAATAAAAAAAACTAAAGACTATTTCTATGGAGGTGGATTCACATAGCCTCCAATTTTATGGATCTCCATTCCCATCTATAAGAGGATGTGTCTTTAAAAATTATATGAATTTATAGATTTGGTTTTGGGAGAGTATATCCAATTTAAAAAGAAAAAAAGATTTGTTCACCTCATGTTTTTCTTATTTTGACACATGCATGTGGAACTACTATATAAAAATTAATAAGTGCATGGATGTGATCGAATGCTCACTTATATGGTTCTTAAAAGAACGCAAAAAGGAATGTGATTGCTAGCTGGCTTCTCTTGTCAAGTCCCTAAAATTGACTACCACATATATATATATATATATATATATATATATATATATATATATATATATATATATATATATATATATATATATATATATATATATATATATGTTAAGGATTTTGTAGCTATACAAAAGACTAATTAATTCGTTTCTCAAAACTAGAGAGAATAATTTGTAATTTACTCCAAATCTTTTGGACAAATGAAATCTTCATTTCTCTCTAAGAAGTGAAAAAAAAAAGAAAGAATAATTCTAAGAGCTGAGCAAATGAACGGAGCTTGGGCCTTCCCTGTATTGTCTTGTGATAGAGAGCTAGCCACTCCAGTTCATCTTGAGTCTAGCCCGTGTAGTAATAATTGAACTGGACCTTCCACATTCCAAGCCTTATGGTGATCTGTCAATGTCCGCTTTTCAGTAGTATTAATTTTCATTTTTTCTTTATAATTTTGTAATTATGAGTACAATTTACAAGCTAAATATTTTTATGTTTTTTAACACATATAAAATTAACTAATTATCACAAAACAATATAATAAAATAATAATGAAAAAGTTAAGATAAATAAATTAAATAATCACTAGAGAGTAACCAAAATGCTTTTGGGATACTATTGAAAATGAGCGAAAATACCCATATTTAAAAAAAAAAAAGATAGAATAGCCCTTGGTGTAGAAAATAACCAAATTTCCCTTGTTTACTTGTCGGAGGTCGTTGTCATTCTTTCGGTCAACAATCGATGCATGGATCACTCCGCCTTGTAGGGGATGTCCGGGCGAACTCGTTGGTTCCGGAGATGGCCACTATCACCTAAGGGAGGAGGTCCACGACAGAAAAGCTTCAACTCGATCTCCTCCTTCTTCGATTAATTTCGACTGAATTTATTAATGGTTTTCAAGGCTTAAAATAGGACCGGAATAACCCCTAGGACTTGTTAGAGCTTCGTTTTGGTAATAGGATGACTTGATTTGGCCAAAAAAATGGAAAAGAAAACCCGCCACAAGCCACGAGTCACATAGGTCCGAATTCGTGATCGATTTCCTTCCTCCCTCACTATTTTCCATCATCTATATTGGTGGAGAAGGGTTGCTCGAAGGCTAGGGGAGTAGTTACGTGGTGGCAATTGCCATTGATATCACCTGGACAATAGACGATTTGGGAGGAGCTTGTAACTAGGTCTAAACGCAAGTCGGATCGTCGATCTTTTCTTCTCCATTTCTCCCTCCTCTAGGGTCTTATTCTTCTCTAACCAATCGAGAATGACGGATCTAGTGGTGGGTTATCGATTTGTGATGGTGAATCAAAGTAATTTTGATCGAAAGACGGCTGATTTGAGAGAGGAAATGTCGACAAGTCTACGGGTTGACTTGCCGATGGCTCGGGTTGGTAGCATCTTTTTCTTTTCTTTTCTTTTCTTATTCTATTGGGATTTGTGTCCTAAAAAAATTAGAGAGATGATGAAAATAAACTTTCTACATTTTATTTATTTATTTATTTATTTTATGGTTAGAGGTGATGGGTATTTGTGGTTAGACTTGTTTTGTGATAGGTGAATAATAGATGCTAGATTATTTTGGTAGGAGATGGGTGATAGAGGCTAGGTTTTTTGGATAGAAAGATGAGTGATGAAGACTATGATTTTTGGGGTAGGAAAATAATAATGGAGGCTCTTAAAAAAGAAGCTATGTTTGTTTAAGGAAAACAAGTTTCAAAAATTTATTTTTTTTATTTTTCGAGTGTTTGATGAATTAGTTTAATAGTTAAAAAATATATTTTATTTTTTATATTAAAATTTTAGAGTCAGTATTTATGAAAATTTATTAAATTTTTCTAAATATATCTTATATTTTGAAATTATGAATATGTTTTTTTGAAGTTTTATCAAAATTAGTTCCACAAAAGAAGAAGTCGCTGGATTGATCGCACGAAATAGAGCATGTGATTGTGCCGTTAGGATCGATCATACGATGAAGTTGTTAGAGTTGTCACATGGTACTAATTAATATATTTTGTACAAAAAAGAAGAAGCTATGTTTGTTTAAGGAAAACAAGTTTCAAAAATTTATTTTTTTATTTTTCGAGTGTTTGATGAATTAGTTTAATAGTTAAAAAATATATTTTATTTTTTATATTAAAATTTTAGAGTCGGTATTTATGAAAATTTATTAAATTTTTCTAAATATATCTTATATTTTGAAATTATGAATATGTTTTTTTGAAGTTTTATCAAAATTAGTTCCACAAAAGAAGAAGTCGCTGGATTGATCGCACGAAATACGAGCATTTGATTGTGCCGTTAGGATCGATCATACGATGAAGTTGTTAGAGTTGTCACATGGTACTAATTAATATATTTTGTACAAAAAAAAAGAAGCTATGTTTGTTTAAGGAAAACAAGTTTCAAAAATTTATTTTTTTATTTTTCGAGTGTTTGATGAATTAGTTTAATAGTTAAAAAATATATTTTATTTTTTATATTAAAATTTTAGAGTCAGTATTTATGAAAATTTATTAAATTTTTCTAAATATATCTTATATTTTGAAATTATGAATATGTTTTTTTGAAGTTTTATCAAAATTAGTTCCACAAAAGAAGAAGTCGCTCGGATTGATCGCACGAAATAGAGCATTTGATTGTGCCGTTAGGATCGATCATACGATGAAGTTGTTAGAGTTGTCACATGGTACTAATTAATATATTTTGTACAAAAAAAAGAAGCTATGTTTGTTTAAGGAAAACAAGTTTCAAAAATTTATTTTTTTTATTTTTCGAGTGTTTGATGAATTAGTTTAATAGTTAAAAAATATATTTTATTTTTTATATTAAAATTTTAGAGTCAGTATTTATGAAAATTTATTAACTTTTTCTAAATATATCTTATATTTTGAAATTATGAATATGTTTTTTTGAAGTTTTATCAAAATTAGTTCCACAAAAGAAGAAGTCGCTGGATTGATCGCACGAAATAGAGCATTTGATTGTGCCGTTAGGATCGATCATACGATGAATTTGTTAGAGTTGTCACATGGTACTAATTAATATATTTTGTACAAAAAAAAGAAGCTATGTTTGTTTAAGGAAAACAAGTTTCAAAAATTTATTTTTTTTATTTTTCGGTGTTTGATGAATTAGTTTAATAGTTAAAAAATATATTTTATTTTTTATATTAAAATTTTAGAGTCAGTATTTATGAAAATTTATTAAATTTTTCTAAATATATCTTATATTTTGAAATTATGAATATGTTTTTTTGAAGTTTTATCAAAATTAGTTCCACAAAAGAAGAAGTCGCTGGATTGATCACACGAAATAGAGCATGTGATTGTGCCGTTAGGATCGATCATACGATGAAGTTGTTAGAGTTGTCACATGGTACTAATTAATATATTTTGTACAAAAAAAAGAAGCTATGTTTGTTTAAGGAAAACAAGTTTCAAAAATTTATTTTTTTTATTTTTCGAGTGTTTGATGAATTAGTTTAATAGTTAAAAAATATATTTTATTTTTTATATTAAAATTTTAGGGTCAGTATTTATGAAAATTTATTAAAATTTTCTAAATATATCTTATATTTTGAAATTATGAATATATTTTTTTGAAGTTTTATCAAAATTAGTTCCACAAAAGAAGAAGTCGCTGGATTGATCACACGAAATAGAGCATGTGATTGTGCCGTTAGGATCGATCATACGATGAAGTTGTTAGAGTTGTCACATGGTACTAATTAATATATTTTGTACAAAAAAAGAAGCTATGTTTGTTTAAGGAAAACAAGTTTCAAAAATTTATTTTTTTTATTTTTCGAGTGTTTGATGAATTAGTTTAATAGTTAAAAAATATATTTTATTTTTTATATTAAAATTTTAGAGTCAGTATTTATGAAACTTTATTAAATTTTTCTAAATATATCTTATATTTTGAAATTATGAATATGTTTTTTTGAAGTTTTATCAAAATTAGTTCCACAAAAGAAGAAGTCGCTGGATTGATCACACGAAATAGAGCATGTGATTGTGCCGTTAGGATCGATCATACGATGAAGTTGTTAGAGTTGTCACATGGTACTAATTAATATATTTTGTACAAAAAAAAAGAAGCTATGTTTGTTTAAGGAAAACAAGTTTCAAAAATTTATTTTTTTTATTTTTCGAGTGTTTGATGAATTAGTTTAATAGTTAAAAAATATATTTTATTTTTTATATTAAAATTTTAGGGTCAGTATTTATGAAAATTTATTAAAATTTTCTAAATATATCTTATATTTTGAAATTATGAATATGTTTTTTTGAAGTTTTATCAAAATTAGTTCCACAAAAGAAGAAGTCGCTGGATTGATCACACGAAATAGAGCATGTGATTGTGCCGTTAGGATCGATCATACGATGAAGTTGTTAGAGTTGTCACATGGTACTAATTAATATATTTTGTACAAAAAAAAAGAAGCTATGTTTGTTTAAGGAAAACAAGTTTCAAAAATTTATTTTTTTTATTTTTCAGTTGTTTGATGAATTAGTTTAATAGTTAAAAAATATATTTTATTTTTTATATTAAAATTTTAGAGTCAGTATTTATGAAAATTTATTAAATTTTTCTAAATATATCTTATATTTTGAAATTATGAATATGTTTTTTTGAAGTTTTATCAAAATTAGTTCCACAAAAGAAGAAGTCGCTGGATTGATCACACGAAATAGAGCATGTGATTGTGCCGTTAGGATCGATCATACGATGAAGTTGTTAGAGTTGTCACATGGTACTAATTAATATATTTTGTACAAAAAAAAGAAGCTATGTTTGTTTAAGGAAAACAAGTTTCAAAAATTTATTTTTTTTATTTTTCGAGTGTTTGATGAATTAGTT